GCCAAAGGGAACGACGAAATCAAAATCGAAGCATTGAAGATAGATGGTTTGCGAGCACTGCTCACACCAAACCATCGAAAGTGAAATCAAGCAAGCTGGAACGCACTCCCAAGCGTGACCATCCCACTCTCTCCAGAGAAAACAGGACTCGCAGCCCTCAAGCTCCCAAACGAGATCCTACGCGCAGCACGGCGAAGCGTGCGTGGACGCGCCTGGATCGCGAGTAGAGGTGTAGCAGGTGTACTCGGGGACAGGGAAGGCGTAGTCGCGGAAGATGCAAGGGATACTGCAACAGGAGATCCAATAGGAGACGACAGCGGGATACGCGACGGAGGCGATGGAGTCGCCTGTGGACACGGGAGTTCAGGACCAAACATCGACGGGTTGCGCATCAGGTTGCGGCGGATGGGCTTCGGCTTCGACATTGCCTTCATTTCCTCCGTCTCCTTTGGCTTGGGTTTCACCTTCGGTACAGGACACGGGGAAGGCAGGTGTAGAGAGCGAGACGGTGGTTGCAGCAGTCTCTACACTCGCCGTCGAGAATTCATTGTCATTATCAGACGAGCTAGAGGAAGCCTTGGCCAGTGAAAAAGTACTCCGCCCCGACTCGCGTTTCTTGGACTGATCCTTGTGCACAGACGATGTAGTAGTAATTTGCGTTGGTGCCAAAACTGGCAGAGTCTGTCGTGCATGTGCGTCCGAGGATGCGATTACCGACCACGAAGGTTCCCTCGTACGGGGCTTCTTCGCACGTTGAGAACGTACTTTCTCCTCTTCGTCAGAGGATATCGATAGGGAAGGCGCGTGTCCCTTGCGGAATTTAGGCTGCTTGATGGGTGTGGTTGCTTTGATTGAGGTGGTGGGTAGCACTCGAGATTTGGATGGAGGTGTCTTTGGCGGGGAGATTACGGATAGAGCGGGGACTTTAGGTTTTGTTTTTGAATAGGGTGTTTTGACGTTCTTCGTTGATGGTGTCCTTGGAGTAGTGGGCTGCGTAGGAACTTTCTTGACCTTTACACCAACAATAGCTACGTCAGGATACCCTCCGCTACGGCGAAATTCGGCAGTCTTGAACAGATTCTCGCCGTCACCTTCCGGATCCACGCGCATCTCGCAAGAGCTCGCAAGGGTCAATGTGGACGATCTGCGCAGGGACGACGGACGAAGAGGCGCTGATGTAGAAACGGGAGTGCCAAAGCTGGAATTCGAATTCGAGGACGCAGTGGACTTTCGAATATTGCTCTGAGAGGCATTGAGCGTTGATGAGCTGGGTGTCGAGGGAGCAAGGGAATGTTCCATTGGACGACGCAAATGAGCAGGACGTAGGTACGGGTGGTGGAAAGTGTGCTCGTGTCGTTGGAGACGGTGCGAAAGGCTGCGTATAATCAGATAAGGGGATAGATCGGAGGGAACGACATACCGAGCAATGCTCTCGTTATGGTCAGCTTTCGCGTCGGTCATGAAATCCATGCTGGACTGCCTGTATAGTGGGTGGCGCTTAGGAGTGTTTGTGGTAGGTTGAAGTACGTCTGGTGAAGTATCGTTGCGCTCAGCACATTTGCTCATATCTGCCGGACGATGTACATTGCCGCTGAGAAAGATAACGTCCTCGTCAATGATGGACTTCCTCCGCTCCTCTATTGCTCTTGCGCGGGCCAGGTCAAGCAATTTAGCACGCGTCGCGGTGACGGAATGGGGCCAGTCATTCGGGCCTTTGGCAGCAGTGATACCGCGTGCAATCTTGTCAAGAAGGTTCGGAGGCGGAATTGAGCCGTTGAAAGGTGTGATAAGATGAGAAGGTAGCGCATCCAAGGTCTGGGGCGAATTTAGGTGAATTACTTGGCGAAAAGCGAAATTCAACACACCCTGCCAAGTAACCTAACCTCATCCTCCTTCCAGTCCAAGCTAGGGTCGTCAAAATCGTAGTTTGAGCTATTCCATGAATCACAACTGTTCCTATTTGGAGCTGGGGGCGAAATGAAAATATGAGACGCGACTGGGCTACGAGAAGGAGTCCGTGGAGCAGAAGGAATGAAAGAACTTGTTGAAGGACGCGGTCTAGGAATATGTGGACGGGGGATGATGAGAGCGAGCGGTGAAACTTGAGCAGACATCAAATGAGTGACTGGCATCGAATTTATTAGGGGACGCGTCGAATGGCACCGACAATGTCCTCGTCGTCGTCGTCCGGGGAGAAACAATGACCATGAGGCGTAAAATTACATAATCAAAGATAATTACTAGGTCCGACAACTCCGACCGAAGCAGGTCATGGTATGAAATCAAGAAGCCTTGTTACTTATACGTACAATGATTTTTCAAACCGGCGGTACTTGTACTACCGCCCTTCTATCTATACGGCGAAACTTATTGTCCGGGCGCAAGCAGCTGATATCGGCGTTTAACTTTCCTATGCAGTCCTTGTACCCCACATCATATTCCCACATGCGAAGAATAGTACAGGTCTAGATCACCATAGATTGGGGTTAGAAGCAGCGGCAGCGTTAATTAGAACTTCATAGGGTACTTGGCGCTACGAGAAAAATCACATCTCAAGTTCGATGGAAGCATATTCGTGCTGAACCGACCTAGGTAGTGAGCTCACCTCGTGGGCTGTGACGATCTAGGGGCATCTAGATCGAGTTATGGACGAAATCAATCCTTCGGTGCCATAGAAAACTCGCTGCTCGGAAGTACCTGGTGAACCGGCCTGAGCGTGTTCACCGTGGGTATCAGGAATCCTAACACGCATTCCTCGTTGATGCAGCAGATCCATAATGATGATAGACATCAGTCCCTCGATAAATAAACCGCTGCTTCTTGCCTTAGACTCGGTTGGGTTTGAGCTTTCAGTCCGTGCTCGGCCTAGTAATCCTAATATGCAGGCTGTGTCAATCTTCCAACGCCTAGATCAGGGTATGTGCGACTCTGAAAATCAATGCCCCAATTCACCTTACTGCCCAAGTCAGATGGAAGCAGTAGAAACACATGGACACCCGAGTGCATAGTCATAGGGACCAAAGGAGCGACAGCGTGAACACATACAGTTACCCCACTGGTCTCTGCTACAGACTGCAGAAAATATCGAAAAAGTAGATCCATCACCAAATGTTCAAGGCACTAGCACCAAAAGGTTGGTTTGAATTTGAAGTATTTTGTGGCCTGAAGTCGACGTAGGATAAATGTGAGGTTCTGTAGTGGCCTTTCGATATGGAGGATAGTATGGCTTAATAACCACAAGATTTAACGTCCAGCGCAGCGTCGAAAGATACCTAATATACACAGTACACTCCATAAACGAAGCTGGTATCCCTCGTAGACCACGCATGATCAACCTTCGAGCCAAAATTCAGCCAACATCATAAAAATATATCACGAATCACGAACTCACCTCCGCACCGCAAAATCTTAATAAATTACGCAGCTTGCGCCAACTTACGTTCTCTCCGTTCAGTAATCTCCGCACGCTTCTGCGCAAGCATAACCGCCGCACGTTCGTCCCACTGATATGCCCAATATCCAACGTAACCAAAAGCGGCCATTGACAGTGCATGTCCGCCGAGGTCTACTCACGACGTCAGTATCAGTATTATACCTGTAGTACAATAAATGTTGTGGTGAATGAGGGCACGCACTCTCCATGAGATTTCTCTTCTTTATTGCGAGCTGCCCGAAACGCGCTGCAAGACCGAATAATGAGAAACCAGCAATCGTGCCAATGAGTGCCATCGCGTATCTGTTTGTTTTGGTGTAGTTTCCAGTGAGCAGGTAGAGTTGAATTGTGCGGGGGATGTCGCGAACGTCGAGCTTGAAGCGTTTATTGACCGAGCCAAATACCGACAAATAACCTCACTTTGGATTGTGTGCATTTTCAATTTCAATTGATATCCACCAAATTCTCAGAAATATCTAAACTTGTGGACAGATCGTCCAAATATTGTCCTGCAGCGCTCCCCGCCGACCTTACGACGAGGTGGTTTAGAGGCAAATCTCACCGCAGGGTCGACTTTCCAGGTACAGTCGTGTTACAGCTTGAACTGTGTGAACGCGAAACATAACTTTTGTTTTGCATTTACCTAGTTCAAAGAGACCGTCTTGCATGACGAAGAGACGTCGCCAAATCTCGTCGAGAATACGATGATGATATTCCATGAATGGGCCAGTACCAATTCGAAGGACACAATTTCAATCTTCTTGTTCATGCAATTGTTTCGACTGGGGCCACGCCTTATCCTTGGGGTTGAAAAATACAACACTAAGCTCGTGGCTAGCAACCATGTGCTTAGATCTGAGAGTCTCGCAACCAAGCAACCCTTTTTGCTCGAACTGAATACATGAAAAAGTGTCAGGCCAAATCCATTCAAGTACATGTTTTCAAGTCCACCTGGGTGCTTTGCGACGAATGGTGGCGTGCGCACAATACGCAGGGGGGACCCTCGGGACGGCTGAATACGTGTTTCAGTTTAAAATCTTCGCGATTCAAATCCTTGGAGAATCGCCACGTCTTCGACCGACTGCACGTGTAAAACGGCTGGCAGGAATAGCAAGGTAGCGGGGGTCATCCACATTCATTCCTGAGTCCGGAGATATATAGGGAGGGCAGGGGTCCTTTAGTATCACCCCAATGGACAGAAATTGGAAGAGTAAAAAAGGGTCGTCAATAAGTAAGAATCTTGGAAGCCTACAAGACTCCTGTGCGAGTGCGAAACATCATTCACCATGCGGTCAGTGCCAATAATGAGCTGAGACCAACACAGGGTGTGGCTTGCGGCCTAGTTAACTTAGTCTAATAGAGGCAAAGACCACACATCTGCATTTGAATGGGGTATTGTACGGCGGATCGATCGGAAGGTAATTGTGGTCCACTATTCATCAAGCACAATGGGCATGTTATGTTGTATCCACACTTCGAAGCTGTTTTTAAAACAAATGTCCACTAGGACTTGAGTATAAAATACAGGCCATCGGTGGAGGACTCAAACATACTACCCCGTATTTGATCTATTTCTCCTACACTCTCGGTGGAGACACTTTGAAAAATTCAGCGAACTGTGACTTCGTCCTACAGCCATCCTTTAAAAATGTCCGATAACATTCATGTGTGTTCTACACTCGCGGTGAGCACAATATTGTAAAATCCAGCGAACTGCGACTTACCAATTCCCATAGCCAATTAAAACAACTCAATACTATAGGATCGCACTGGTCCAGTTTTGGCGAGGCCAGAAAGAGCCCCTTAGGCCCTATCCGCTTCACTGGGCACTCTATGTCGAAACTGGTCCAGGTGTCGGCAACACCTACGAGATCGCAGGAGATCAGAGTACCTACACCTTTCGTATGACAGTGAACCAGCCCCTTGCAAACAAGGAGGACTATCGCAGATGTTGTTATCTTGGAAGAGTCTCGGAGGCCAAGCTCCCCAGAATGGGGGCGATCCTTGCAAAAATTAAAGTCTTCCGAAATTGTCCCGTTTGGAACAGCCATGATTGGGTGGAGACAGCTTTGAGGACTCTCAGGGACTCAGGTTTTCCCGTCCATAGTGAAGAGGAGGTTCGGCCCGGGCGTCTTCAAGATGAGATGCTCTGGAAGCTAGAAGATTGGCCTGGAATTGAAGGTGTCGTCGAATTTGTCGGTTACCAATATCTCGAGTGTGTAATACACTCGAAGTCCCGGAGGTTGCGCAGAGAGGGTCAGGAGTAAACCAAGCGTTCTGGACTTGGAGGACGGAAAGTTGAAAGAATTTGACAAGTTCCATAGTCTATATTTGTTTGTAATTTTGTATCATCAACATTCAGCGCTCAGCTGAGTTACGTCCTTCGGCTGCCATGATACTAGCTAGGCTGCCAAACTCGTGCAGAGTAAGTATCACAACACTGCTGGTATACATCACACCGCGCTCGATGAAAGCAAATATGATGTTTTTGTAGGCATTACTGTCAGTCCGAATAGCTATGTCTCGTTCCCGCGCGCCAAAGAGGATATGCCGTTCCGGACGTGACACTGATCATATAATCAAGCACAAACTAGCTTTCGTTCAGAGTGAGCACCAAATACACACAGGAAACCACTGAGCTGAACAGAGACGGGCCTGAGTCTGCGAGGCATCCGAGGGACATAAGTCGTAGACTGGCGCCGTTACGATAGTAGTACTAGTACAAGCATAGAAGGCAATGTACTGCAAGGTGTTATATCCACTTGAGACGGATTCGGCACCGCTGGTGATCAACTGCAACGAATTCACGGTTTCAGCGGTACAATGAGAAACAATGTCATGTTTCAAAAGAAGCAGTCAGTTCAAAGTCAGTTACTACATTTGACCTTGTCGGGACTCGGCAGTATCCGAGCTGATAGGGACTAAAAGGTCAGTTACTGCCTTTCGATTTCCCAAATTTCTACTACTTAAAGTCTTACAATCACTACTCTTAAATTTCTCTATCCTACCATTAATTCCCCAAACGATGTCAACTCCAGATACCTCTATCTCAACTACTCAGGCCTCGGAGATCATAGAGTCGGTTTCATCACCTGGTGTCGTGCAGGATAGCCTCCGCGATGCAAACGTCAAAGTACCCACGCAAGCGGAATTATCTACTGTAGAGTCAAAGTTGGCCACCGCGCGCTCGAAGAAAGACACTGGTGATGCTGCGTTCAAAGTAGGAGATGTCAAGAGTGGTAAGTGTCGCATCCTTGGCATTGTTAATTAGTAGGTGATCCTTATATCGCGTACAGCATTGCGATCGTACCATGAGGTGAGGATATGACCAAAGACTTGTATGATGTACAGACGACCTCTGACGTAGCTACTGCGTGAAGACGCTTCTGTATCTTCACGGCATCGATAAGTATGGTTGCACTATGTTAACTCATGTTCATACTTTACGAACCCTTGATCTTCCAGAAACGCCCTTAAATCTCTTGGATTGGCTGTCCCATCGTCTTCGTCATCGATGTCAGCAGTAGACCAAGCTGCTGGTGCAAAAGACGTAACGACTGAGGTACGAACCCGAAGTCCGTCGATCGATAAAAGGTAACAGGAGGACTTTGCTCGACAGGCAGATATGATTCTGGAGAAAGTATACGCCAATATGTCTGCCTGCCATATTAAACAAGAGAACTGGAAGCGGGCAGTGGATACTGCTGACAAGGTTTGTTGCCCTCCAACGCAAATCTCTCTCGCTAAGGCTAGTTTTGTAGGCTCTGGGCAAAAACGCAGCTAATTCTAAAGCACTTTTCCGAAAAGCAAAGGCACTTGGAGAACTTGGATTTTTCGAGAAAGCTGAGATAGCTCTCAACGAGATCAAGAAGGTCGCTCCCAACGGTGTGTGGTTTTTTGAATTCTCTTTCGGGATATATTGTTGACCAACGAATATGTACTACTGAAATTCATCATTCAGAGGCGCCCATGGCCGACGCAGAGCTTGTGCGTCAGAAAGCGATGGACCGTGAACGGCAAAAGGCTCACGATCAGAAAATGAGAGGTGAGATTTTTATCTGTTCCTATTTTCCCTACTGAGATTGGTCACGACGATACTAGGCTGGCTTTCACGAGAGAAGAAGCAGGCTGCCAGCGAGTAGTCAATAGTCTGGAGCGAGGATATGTACAGCAAAAGCTCACGATACCTTGTATTTGAAGCGGCCATCATGCATCATGGTTTGTTGCACCTTAATTTTGCCTTAATTCAGCGAAGAGTATACACGATTCCCGACATCGGGGTCAATTATAAGTACATGAACGAAACAAAACTTGCCAGGACACCGTGGCTAACATTACATAATTGCACTTGGAACTTGCCATGGCCCATGAAGCTTTAACTCGCGTTGAGGACCTTTTCTTCAAAATCATCACCATGGCGGTTGGTTTATCGTCGCTTCCTACAGAGCTGATATATCACATTCTACTCTTCCTCACTCCCAAGGACATTTGTCGCTGTGCAATTGTCTGCTCTTTCCCTGTGTTCTGTATTTCTGCCATGCTAACTTCTTCAATGAATCACGTTAGACCTGCAAAATTGTCTGGGATGCGGTTCAAAATTCGGTCCACATCCAATACAAGCTTGAGCTTTATGCACAAGGCCTCAATGAGACCGATTCTACGAACGCAAACTCCATCGGCGTTGCCAGCAAGATGCATTCACTCAAGAACTTGGCATCCTTGTGGCGGTCCGGTTTCCATGTCAATACCGTTTTCCAAGATGTAGTTGCTCAAGACGAACAGTCCATCCAGCCACAGTTCGTGAAATGTGGGACTTTATCGGTGTGGAGAATGAACGATCTTTTGATCCGAGACTGCAAGAAAAAGACTAAACCCCCTCAAGTGTGGCCTGACCATGGCTTGTTCAAACAGTCACACACACACAACTTGATGAGGCATTCAGTTGTTGTCGACCCATTGCAGGATCTTGTAGTCGCAATCTCATCGCCTCGTGCATTGATTTGGGACGATGCTCAGCAAGATCAACTTGTCTTTTGGGTCGACTTTTGGCTGGCTTCATCCCAGCTTCCGCATCCGGACTCTGCGTGCACTTTGTTGGAGTGCAGACATACTTGTGAACCTGATATCTACGCTGCCCATATTCTTTGTAGGCCTGCGATCTGTGGAGATCGTATAGTTGTGCTCTATCACACGAGACATCGCACTTTATGGGACATGTTCACGTCCAACATGTTCATACAAGTCATAGATTGGAAGAAAGGACATGTCAAAAGAGTAAGTCCACTCTACTCTTGAAAACTCTGCCGCTTAGTTCAAGTAGCATGCTTTATGGGAACCAGGAGAGCAATTGTATACCAGTTTACGTCTAGTCGACAAACACACGATGCTTATCATCAACTCAAAAGGTCATATAGTCTTGTACACATTACAAGGACTTGATGGCTCACCTCGACGTCGAGTCACGTATCTCCTGCCGATTCTGAGACTTGGCCATTATCTATCCGCAGATTCGGCATCCATCTTGCCATACTGTGTTGTTCATGCCTCCCCATCGTTCCACGGTACAGTAGCTCACCCAGGGCTGATGCCCAGCTATGTGCCCTCTCCGGAGTCACAAATTATGGTTCTGGAAATTCTCCCTGTCTCATGGCCCGTAATGATCGTCATTGATATGGCCATGTTTTCAGAAAAGGCCATGCGATCAGAGACACCTGTTGAGATTCCGTGGTCAGACTGGGGACCCAAGTATACATGGTGCTTTCCGCATCATCCAAGCCATCGAATCAGTGTGTTCGGTAGCAAAATGGCATATGCCCTTCCTCGACATCGTACTCCTGAACCTGGTCAAAGGGTGGAAGCGCTCTCCCCCGAGGGACACTTCTACATACACATCTGGGACTTCAATAAGCGACTCGTTGCTCGCTCAGAAAATACACACGATTCCGATTCGCCGAAAGTTGTGATACGCAAGCCTGGCTGGTTTGCTCAGTCGTGCTTTGATGAAGACCTGGCCTTTAACCGTCCTTACATTGCTTCTGTCTGCGCCGAGCCTTTTCCGATGCGCCACTTTGACAGGGTTTTCTTAGAACAAGATCGACTTACTTTAACGAGGGTGAGTGGTTTTTGTGATTCGAGACACGGCGATGATTTACTAATATGGCAAAATCATAGTTACCTGTTGGTTTCGTTGATATTCAGGTTGTTTCACCCATATCTATGGAGGTTGGCTTGGAACCTGAAAGGCATAGAGAAAAGTCGCTGTAGTGGTTTCGGGAATTCCACATACGCATAATTAAACCGCAGGCTCGATCTAGTTCAGTTCATATTCAGGACGTTTCTCATGTACGATTGGCTCAGTTCTTGGATTATGGTAAGGATGCATTCAGTGTTGCGCCCTCAAGCCAGTAGATGGAGATGGTCAAACTGCGCATGTTGCTGCTGCTCGAGATGAGCTGCTAAATTTATCTCGCATAGCTTCAAATGCGAGGTCAGTTGATTCTGGGATTCTTTTATATACATCAGCAAAGTGTCTATGAACGTGCAATGTCCATATCGTAGTCCATCGCAGAAGCGTATGTGTAATAAGTATCCATATCCATATTCCATAACGTAGATGATCACCAAAGTGCGATAGCGTCCATACCGCAGTCCAAAGTAGGGCGAACGAAAACTGACAGGAATGCGTCTTGCCAGATATCACTGGCCGGAAAGGGCTCGGCGGTAGATATCTTCATTGCGCAGTTGTTGGCGCCGCGGGTGAAGAGGATGCACACCAGACAAGATGTCATCAAAACATGGAGGGCAGGTGGGAGGCGGCAGAATATACTCCTGACTGAAGTCAGACGAACCCAAGTCACTCCAGTCGAAGTCAACATCCCGTGTCTGACGGGTGGCTATATGCGCCGGAAACTCAACTCCCAAAGGCGAGTTCGCTGCTTCAGGATTCCGCATGGCAGATGCCAAAGTAGCTGCACCCTGCATATCATGAAGCTTGATGGGATATATTGGTTTTGGTGCGGCGATGTGCAGCTCCCTACTAGTGATGGAGTTCCGCTCGCCTATATAAGATGGTGGTCGATGCAACTTTGCCACACCATGGTTAAGACAGGGGCGAGTTTTCGAGGTTTTTATGGGTGTCCAAGTGCAGACCCTTCCTGCCTTTTGGCAACTGAGGCACAGTGGCTGCTCCCCGGAACACTTAGCTCTATTGTCAGAGGTACGCCGGATATGATAGTGATGAGGGCTGCTCACTTTTTTCTTCTTATTGCGGCATTCATCGCAGGCATGAACAACGCGAGGTTTAGTACGTTTTGATCGTACTTGTCCAGCCAGCTCGTGAGTCGGAGCATATGATCCATCAGAAGAAACAGTCCTGCGAGCTGGAGTGGATGATTCGCCAGGAGACATGTTCTGCTGAGTGATTAATGGAAGATC